CTTGTATAGATCTTGTGGTTCGTGCAGATGTACAACCATAGGGGAATCCTTAGGAGTCGAATGATGAGGACTTGGACTTGGATGTGTTAAGCATATAACCAGCATCACTGTCAAATCTTGAAATCACGCCGGAAATACTGGGTTATTGGCAATAAAAAAGACCAATTCCGAAATTAACATAATAATACGGAATAATAAAAAATGAGACCTCGAAAAACGACGACTTGTGAATGGATCATAGATTTTTTACGGGGTTTTGGCATGCTGAAGGCTTTGTTTTTGCCCATTTTTGGGCATCCTGACTTTTTGACTCTCGTCTGAACAGTGGCTCCTTGTCAATCCATGCGAGTTTAGTTGATGCTCTTCTCCACATTCACCCTTATCGCAGGATGGGTGTAGTTTAGATCGCAAGATTTGAAGAAAGCAAGCTTGAGTCACATGCCCTACTCTCTATTTTAAGTTAGATGGCTTGTGATGTTTCGCTCTATGGGCAAGTACGCCCCCATCTCTTTGGACTGAAATCCTGTCCCGAATCTCACTTTCCGGTTCGTTTTACTAGTAGTTGTCCCTGTCTCTTACGATCCAACTGTAGTTGCTTTCCTTTTCCCTGCGCAAGCGAGAAAGAATACTAAGGCCTTTCCAGCACTAAGCATATCCTATTTCCTTTCAGATATTTGCAGTTCCGGGTATGTGACTTAGTTCACTCTTCCTTAAATAGATCGATTAGTTGTGAAGGGGCACGCTTACCCACTCCCCTTCCTCCCATTGCTAGGAGCCTCGCCCTCTTGACTTGATAGATCAAGAAGACTAAAACCGATAATGGATCACCTTTTGCTTAAATAAGCTTCCTACCTGAATGATAACAACTTGATCCGCCGAAAAGACTATAATAGAATATCATAGTTCTGAATGGCACGAAATACCCGCCGATAGGGAGTGCTGTGCCGCGTTCCCTTCGTTCGGATTTCATTTAAATAGTGATCGAGTGCCCGTTCCGACAGCAGCCTATTATGCTGGCGAAAAAGGACTTCTCTGATCTCATTTAGTCGAAAGTGGATACGCTCTGCATCAAATCCATCATCGAGTAAAGCGGCTTCCACATTCCTTTCTATGGGAACCGCTATTTCTAAGACGCGGTCGAATAAAAGTAAGTCAGATATTTGGTTTCGACCGAAGAAAGAAATACGCAGGGCTTGCGTAAGTTCGAACAAACTCCGCTCATCGGAAATTAAAGGGAGAAATTGTGGGATAACCGGTGGATTGGGAGCTGCAGGGTGGGCAGCAGGCACGGGGGCATCCTGCTGTGTCGGAGCCACGGAAGAGGGGTTCTCTATACCTATTCTAGAGGGCCCCGCTTCATCCCTGGTTGCGGGTGGGGCGCTGCTTGCTTCGTCTCCCCTCGTTCCACCCAACAAATATTTCTCCCACGAAGAAGATTGAGTGTTTGAAATTGAAGGAGGTGTCGAGCGGGAGTTCGAGGGTAGCTCTCCGCTCTGAGCGGGCGGCGCGACACTAATAGCTTCCTCGCCCGGATCAGCAAGGGATCCGTGAGTCCGGTTACTCTCGCTACCATTCACCCAAAAAAAGGAGTTAGGAATCAGACTTAGGCCAGACTCCTCACTAGTATCGCAGCCGCAGATGTTTATCTCGTGTATTGCCAGCGCCAGACCAACAAGCATTTGGATGCTGTTCCAAATGAAGGCTAAGTAGGTCAAGTTCCCTGCGCCTGTCTGGTCCGATCGTTTAGACGCCATCCTTTATTCTCTTTCCAAAAAGTGTGCGAGATGGGAAAAGAAGAGAGCATCTTTCTCAGACAAATCCTCGATCTCAAGCATGAGGTCAATTACATCGATCCATGCCTTGGTGTCATATCTTCGTTCAATATGAGGAAGGGAAAAAGTCGCCGGAAAGGAAGACGCATCTACCTTTCTTATACCAAGAAGACGTATTCAAAAAGAGGGAAAGCACAGGTGCCCAGGTTCAAGCATCCACTAGGCAGGGCAGTTCCAGAAGTCGTAACGTAAGAAGATTGGATCCTAGCTACCACTACTAGCCTATCCTTGCGCACTCGCACAGAAGAAAAGGAAGCAGAGCTTTAGCAGATCATGAATCAACAATACCAGTTTCAGTGGAAACTATCATCTCAAAGGAGAAATGCATAAAGTAGTAAGCGATGTAAGCTCTGAGGAACTCTACTTGCAAAGAAACGTAGGCGCTAATGAGAAAGTAAAGTCCGAGCCTCTCTTTTGGATTCATCAAAGGCTAGTCCTTCCCATCTATAGTTGTGCAAGCTAGATCAGAGTAAGTGCGAGGGAAAGAAGTCAACGATTTACATCATTGGTATTTAGGGACAAATCAAGTCCTAGAGAACTCAGAGGAATATCGTATCGATCAGTAGAGAGATTTAGAACCTTGAACTAGCAAGCAAGAACCACGTACTCAAGAGCGTCAGCCTTAAAGCAGCGTATATAGGATCAATCATCAGGGAAAGAATAGCTAGAACGTGGGGTACAAATTTAACTAATAAAGGGCTTTCGGGATCATCGCACTAGTTTCTCAGTTTGACTGGGAAGAAATGCAGTAGCCTATGTTGACGACATCGTCGTCAAAAGTCTAAAGAAAGAGCATCATATAACTGACCTCAATGAGTCATTCAATAATCTCCGAAGGGCCTTCATCAAGTTGAACCCAGAAAAGTGCATCTTTGGGCAGGCAAAATGCTAGGCTACCTTGTGTCACAGAGAGGAATCGAAGCGAATCCTGAGAAAATCGAAGCAATTATGCAGATACAATCTCCTAAGAGCATAAAAGAAGCACAGCGCCTTACAGGGCGCATAATATCACTAAGCAGATTCATACCGAAGCTACCAGAGAAAGTCATGCCAATATTCAAAAGCCTAAGAAAGGCAAAAAAGCTTCGAATGGGGGAAAACCAAGAAGAAGCATTCGCTGAGTTCTAAAAACAACTCAACAGCTTAGCAACTTTGGTCAGGGAAAACAATGAGCTTCGCTTGTATGTGTCAGCTTCGACAATGGCAGTAAGTGCAGCCTTAGTCCAAGAAAAGGAGGATCAAGGAAGAAAATTCTAGCAGCCAATATACTTCGTCTCTGAAGCGCTGACAGCTTCGAAGAAAGCATACACAGAACTAGAAAAAAA